TGATATTGCATATGCCCTCAATATCGAACAATGTTAGCTCGTCAACATTAGAACAGCTAATGGCGACGTCCGCAGTGCATGCATCCAGCGCAACAGGGACACCGTTGACTTCAGCATCCTGTTCCAGTTTGCTCTCAATATTCTGAGGTGAATCAACTACCGGCAGCTCACATGATGGTTTAATATAGATGGGGACTGAATTTAATGTTAAACTGGAAGTTTCTGTCGTGGCAGAGGAAATGCAATTGTCGCTTATACCCGTTATTCCAGAGGAAAAGGCGTTATCCAAAACTTCGTCGCTATCAACCGAAAACTTTTCGCAATGAAACATATATGTTTCGGTGGGAAGGCTAGAATGTTTCTCGGGCATACAAGATGGGCTGTCCGCTGTATGCCCTTTTTGAGGCATATGCCGATACGTCGCTGATGAACAGAGAGTGATTTCGGAGAGATACGATGGACAGCTTTGGCAACTGGAGATCGAATCTGGCCTAAAAATCATAAGCGCTTAAATCACATATCGAAAATTCTAATACGGAACGTAAAGAATGCAGCATTATGGTTATAGAAAGTAGTAGAAAGATATGAGATCCTCAATTCTGAGCGCATTGTTGGAACTGTAATGAATTTGTTTAGTCAAGGTTGACAAAACTGATATTAGAGCTAATATAATCGTCATTTACAGCTCAGTGCTAACAACGTGACAAGATACGTATTCGAAAGACGTTCCGGAAGTTTAACATGGATAAGTTTCAATCACATCAAATTACGGCTGCTGGACAACGAACTGTCCACGGGGAAGAGGAAAGAATTGGTCGACTCCGTCTTCCTATCCGCCATCCGCCATGATTTAAGGTGTGCAGTGCTGGTCTACGAAAATGGCTGTGGGAAAAAGAATATGCAATATGGTCTACCTTTGAAACCATGTTCCAAGTGCGATAGTTCGGCCTCGGAAACGATTTCAGGATATACTCGCTGCCACTTAAAACTCCAAGAGATTACGGGCTGGCCATTTAGATCGTCTTACGGATAACATGTTAATATCCCGAGTTGTCAAGTGGATCCTCCTGCCAGTAAACGTCCATTTGATCGTACACCAACCGATCAGACGATCCAATGATCAAGCTAATTGAAAGTGAAAGTAAAAGGCACAACTTCAAGACGCGCGGCGGAACGTCGACTTGCGTCGGTGGTGTGAAGAAGACGCATAGGAGAACAGAAGGAAGGAAGAAAAAACATATTTTATTACTGCATTTATGAACTTCATTTAAGCCTTTGCCCTTTTCTGGAACTAAACCAAACACCTACACAAACTCAATAAACTTACATAGTTTCATTACCCAGTGCAAAAATGAGTGGTTCAAATAAAATCGCACGTTTACCTGTAACGTTTACGACAAACAGGGAACTTGTCGGAGGAATCGCTGCTGTCACTCATGTCAGAGTCCACGTGACAGTACGCACGATTAAAACTATCGAAATTCAGAGTATCACCGAACATGCGCTTAGCCAGCGGATCAGCTTTTTCGGTGCCGGTACGATTGTCCTATGAAGAATGTAGTAAAGCACCGTAGATCAAGTTAGCGTTAAAGTTTGTGGCATACGTCGAATTTCGTGTCTTCGACGAAAAGCTCTAGCTCCTTGTTGGGGAAGGTCAGTGGCACAGAAGCAAGGTTCACTTCCATCAGTGAAGCAGCTTCTTCCAGACTAAATTCGCGCTTCATCTCCAGCAGGAGCCAGCGATAGCAAAACAGCAGGTCGTCGGCGTGTATTTCCCTCAAGTATTCGTAAAACTCGCTGTCGTAGTGCTGAATGAGTTCGCTGAGATCCTGAAACTTCTTTGTCATCGCCCGTCCGTCGTACTGGAAGTTCTTCTTGAGCCTTTGCATAATGGCGCAGAAACAGGCGTATAACAACGCCTCGTCCCGCAAGACGAACAACAACAACGACGCAATGTCGCTCATACCCTGACAGTAATTAACCTGGAAATAATAATCGGTTACTGCATGACCGCCACAAAGCCTATTTGGTAAAATGTACAGTTTATCTCGGTCAGCATTTAAAAAAACACTTTGGGTTTTGAATCCTATCTCTGCCCTTAACCACCGAATATGAGCACCTCTCCATTTTCAAAGGGAGATTTCCTTGAATGCTTTTATAAATCAGTTTTAATAGACTTTCTACCCATTAAACATTTTTGTGAAATTTAACAACAATGGTCAACGCCAGATTAGTAGGAACACGGTCGTTTGTAATAGTTATCAATCAAAAGTTTATGAGTGATTCCGTATATTACACAATTTGCAAATAAAACCATCATGTCGTTTTTGCCGAGCATCGTTAGGAACAGAATCTACCTCCGGGTGGCACAGCGCGTATGTTGTGATCGCGTTGAACAGCATCATCAGATTCGGGTTGTTATCCTCGTCACCGGCATAGAACGGGTGGTTGCGATCGGTACGAACGACGTCCTTGCGCACGGCGCTCAGTACTGACTTCAGGTTGTCGCTAATGAGGAACGTACACCGCAAGTAGCGGTGCCAGGCGTCGACCAGCGCATGGTACTTATCAGACATGCGCTTACGGCAGACCGCCCTCTCGACCGCGCTCAGACCCGTAGGGTAAAGTTCGAACAACAGGGGCCAGACGTCGCCGCGCACCGCGTTGTCACAACCGGTCTGGTACACGCGCAGCCGGAACAGCTCTGGGCGCAACAGACGGCCCTCTGCATCGAAGTACATGCTGTAGTCAGATTTTGAGAACGATCGATTGTGGACAAAGTTCGGTGGTACAGACACTAACCACTTTTTGTGACCGTCGCCTCCCTTGGGCAACATCGACAACAGCTGGAATCGTTGGCTTGGCTTCCGTTCTGGAACAACTGCCGAACACGGCTTGATGCCGTTGCCCAACAGATCGTCTGTGTCGACAAAGTCCCATTCTTGAAACTCTGTAAAAGAAATAATTTAGAGTTATGTACCGAAGGCATTAGGAAAATTATGGAAACACTAAGGAAAAAAATGAAACGACTCAAACTGCATCAGTATGTTTTATTCATTCGTTTTCAAGTCCAGTCAATTCTTTCGGATTGTGATGGAGCTGGTAAGAAGACTTTTTCAATGATCCTAGTGCGCTTGAGGCCATCTTTCACAAGAGAGTGAGCCTTGCGAGTCACCTCTATAGCATCCTCATCACGTGACATCACAGTTTAGGTAATTTATGACTACCGTATGTTTCTACATGCAACTTTTCAATATATATTTTACAGCGGCTATTAAAAACATCAAGCATCAGGCAGCATGGACGTAGGTCTCGCGCGCCTTGGCACAACCATATCATAACACCATGTTTTCGCTATTAATCGCAAGTCAACGATTAGTTATGTTTTTTTGGGCTGATTGAACTGAAGCATAGTGGTGCGAATTCGCTGCTCCAGGGAATTAACAGTCACGAAGATAAAAGTAACAGTCACGAAGATAACGTACATCGCGCGTTGCGTTTAAAGGTAGCATTATAGCTAGCAAAGCCGCCTAGAAACCAACCACACCACGCCCCCCCCCCAACCACCTTCAAAGAACTTTGCCAAGAAATCAGCGCAAAAGATTTCTGACAGGATATTGGCAAACCTTGGCGCTAAAACTAAGTTAAAGCAAGCAACAGCTTTAACCTCGTTTCATGATGCTTCTCCAGTTCCTGCCCTGCTGCATTAAAATCACGTGAACTAATCGCTACAAGCTCATCGATTATGTTCCAGTACTCAAACCACGCCTAACTCCACGCATCCGCTTTCAACAGCGTCACTGTTTGTTGACTTGCGTTCGTCTGAAGAATCGAGGTAGCCTGCTTGTCCGCCGCATCGCATAGCCGGTAACTCGAGTAACAGCCGAGTCAGATAATGGTGTTCATGACCGAGAGAAGATGGCGATGACAAGGAGCAGAATAAATGTTTAAGGTAATATAATATAAATTCTGATCTCGCGTTTTTAAAGGATAAAACATAGTAAGAATCTAGCTACATAAACAATTTCTTAAACAATTTATTGAATGCGCATCACTACAAGCCGCATTTTCCACTATAACAACCATCGATACTGTACGTGTGCGTGTTTGACAAGGCAGAGTAGTAATAAGTCAGCTTCGAACTGCGATGATGACGGGTTTAAATCCAAAAAAGATAAATTTGTATTAACCGCTGATTACCCTGAGCAAGTTATTCAATCCATGGTGCTTTGGTTCAAATCACAGCCTTGTGAACTAGAGGAACAGCGTGTGGACCTGTCAGAATCGTCCAGAGGAAATTCGTGGTGATCGTTGACCATCCAGTGTCATAATCAACACTATGTACGAACTATGATGTTGTTACCTTTTATCACTGTGTGTTCTTTCCATTTGCACTGTTATTTGTTGCCTGCCTGTGCTTGCCCATTTGGAAACATGTCTACACTGATGGCAATTTATAGCTCATTAATACCTTAATCTGAAATCTGAACTACAAGGTTACTTTACTGTACAGTAGAAACAAAATCAACCGAAGTATCACTAATATTAACGATTTCGAAAGTTCATTTTCAACTCATAAATCCACGTTTAAGATTGAATGGCTTTTAATGCAAGATAATACTTGATGCTAAAAAACCTGTATTACACACTTGTCAACGTTTCAGCCATGCAAAACCGCCTTCTTCGGGACAGAAAAGAGCAGCCTTTGCACTGTTATTGTATTACTATTACCAATACGAACAAAACATAATAAACCGGATTCTCGACGGAATCAAGTCTCTGCTTACCAATATCAGTATTAGAAAATCCATTAGGAACCTGATTATAAAATAAAAAAGCAAATAAAAAATAAATTATATACAAGATGGTCAAATAATCGGACTGGATTGAGAAAATTGTCTGCTCGTATTGCCTGAAAATACGCAACGTTACCATGTCTCTCAGCAAAAAAGAGCAATGCGAAAGCTGTTTGCACATGATATGGATGATTTTCTTGACATGATCACGGGCGATAGAAGTACTCATGTAGCACCTGACTGTTAATCATGAAAATCTGATTTACGACTGATTAACTAGCTTCCGTAATTAATCATTCCGTGTGTT